GTTGATTATCAACCAAAGCATTATAAACATAAAAGGCTGCAAGCTAGTATCGTTATTATTATTATTATTATTTTATTATTATTATTATTATTATTATTCAAGGTCAAATCATTGAGCGTGTACCATCCACAGCTGGCCTACTGCATGGTCCAGTTCCTAGAAAAGGAAGGAACCCTCACAGAACCCGTGGGTGCCGTGATGATGATGATGTTGTTGATGACGGTGATTATGATGATGGTAACCGTGGTGGTGATGATGATGTTGTTATGGGTCAGTGATGTTAAGTGATTGTAATAACTATGTGATGGTTAAATAATGTACGATAATAATTTTTCGTGTTATTATTTAAAGGTCGACATTTGATCCGTCGCACACACACACACACACACACACACACACATCTATAAATAGCTCCTAAATAGTCGTTGGTTCTTGTCAGAATCCTAATTAATATTAATTCTTCATCTCATTTGCATATTTTTACATTAACATCTTCCTAAATTTTTAAAGTTATTCTTTGGTATCATTACGTATTTCCGGCAGGTGGTCATGGGACTTTTGAAATTTTGGCCTAAGGTCCACAGCCCCAAGGAGGTTCGTTGTATTTATATAATGGTGGTCATCAAATCTGTATCTAAGGATTTGTGGATCCCAAATGTTGGTGGGGACCATGAACTTTCTTACTTTGTACTCTGGTGTACTCTGTAACTGAGCTCTTAATAAATAAGGCAGTTTCGCTGAATTATAACGACGGCAATTACGGCAACAATCACAACAACAATTACAACAACAATTACAACACCAAGGTGATGTTTCTGAATGAGTTGGAAGAGATTCTGGACGTGATCGAGCCGACGGAATTCCACAAAGTCATGGTGCCACTCTTCAAACAGCTCGCCAAGTGTGTCACCAGTCCACATTTCCAGGTGACGTGATGATGTCACCATGATGATGATGATGATGATGATGATGATGATGTTGATGGCATGTTCACTTGTGTGTGTGTGTGTGTGTGTTTGTGTACGTGTGACGTAATGAATGAGGATGGCGAAATGAGATTACGACAACGTAGTGTTAGCCATACCAATGGTTAATTTAAAAAATAAAACTTGAATAAATTTTTGTGCTAGGTGGCAGAGCGGGCGTTATACTTCTGGAATAACGAGTACATACTGAGTTTGGTGAGCGATAATGTGACTGAGATACTGCCCATCATGTTTGCATCTCTATACGGAAACAAACAGCATTGGAATAAGTTAGTTGACGTCATTGAGTTGTTGTGGATCTGTCCTAGTTGTTGTTGTTGTTGTTGTTGTTGTTGTTGTTGTTGTTGTTGTTGTTGTTGTTGTTGTTGTTGTATTGTGTTGTTGGGTGTATGTCTTTGTTATTGTTGCGTCATCGTGGTTATGTCATGTTTGCATTGTTTTGTTGTTTGCATCTGTTTTTTTTTAAATGTTATAGAGTAATAATAGTTGTTTAGTTGAATATTTTAACAATAGTCATACATTTAGTTGCCAATAACATCAACAAAAACAAACAAATCAACAAAACATAAAAAACAACCAACCCACCAACCAACCAACCAATCAATCAACCAACCAATCAATCAACCAATCAATCAACCCACCAACCAACCAATCAAACACAGAACGATACACGGCTTGATATACAACGCCCTGAAGCTTTTCATGGAGATGAACCAGAAACTATTCGACAACTGTGCGCAACAATTCAAGAATGAAATGCAAAAGTAGGTGTTGTTGTTTTTGCTGTTGTGTTGTTGTTGTTGTGTTTGTTGCTGTTGTTGTGTCGTTGTTGTATTGTTGTTGGTGTTGTTATCTTTATGTCATCTATTTTTCTTGGTTTATTTCACTGAGCAGTTTTGTTTCACTGTCGTCTCGTTTTGTTTTGTTTCTCCATTGGAATGTTTTGTTGCATTCGTCGTTTGTGTTGTCTATTTCATTTCACTCTTTTAACACAACAACAAGAACACACAGTACACTCAGCAACACACACTCACCTCACACAAACACACACATGCTCTCTCCTCTCTCTCAGTTTTTCTTTATCTCTCTCTCTCTCCCTCTCTCTCTCTCTCTCTTTATCAGTTTTTCTTTATCTCTTCTCTCTCTCTCTCTCTCTCTCTCTCTCTCTCTCTCTCTCTCTCTCTCTCTCTCTCTCTCTCTTTCCCACGCACACCACACACGTACGCACAAACAGAGCAAAAGAAAGACAACGGCAGCGAGAGTTAACCTGGATGAAGATTCATAACATTGCCAGTAAAAACCCAGAGGTCATTTTTTGTCATTGTTCATCGTCTTTTTCGTCCTCTTCTATAATAATAATAATAACAATAATAATAATATAAATAACAACAATAATAATTATTATGACAATAATAATTATCATTATTAGATATGATGATAATTATAATTATGGTAATAATAATAATGACGTAATCTTACATTGCAGTTGAGCAGAATTCAGATGGTGGCGTTCGACACATCTCTGCAGGAAACTATGCTTATGGAAAGCTTAAGCAACAACAACAACATCATCAACAACAGCATCAACAACAACATCAATAACAACAACATCAATAACAACAACATCAATAACAACAACATCAATAACAACAACATCAACGTTCAAAATGATGATGTACATATGGTTGATGTTTGTAAATAAATAATGTTAATGTGCATATGCTAAAGCTAATTTTTTCTATGTTAATATTGTTATTATTATTGTTGTTTTTGTTATTATTGTTGTTGTTATTGTTATTATTATTATTAATGTTGTTGTTATTATTGTTGTTTTGCTATGGTTTTTATTATATTATTATTAATGAGGTTGTAGTAGAACCAGCAGTAGTAGAACACTAGGACGGCCAAAATGAGATTACGGTGGGATTTTTACAGGATTGTAATGGGATTACAGTAGGATACTGACGGGATTGTATTGGGATTATATAGGATATGGGATTGCAATTGATTTTTATTGGAGGTTTTTGGGAGGGGGTTATTAAAAGAGAAAATTTTTTGGTTTTAATTTTTAACAAAATTAATATTCTTAATCTTGTCTATATCACTTTTATATTTTATTATTTTTGTTCTTGTGTCATAGAGTCATTTTTTTCTGTTTATTCTGTGTTTTTTTATTTTTGTTTGTTTATCCATTTGTTTACTAGTATTAAAATATTTAGAAAATTGAAAATATATTCCTTAGAAAATTGATTGTTTAACATTGTAAGTTTTAACGTTCATTTCTTCATTCGTTTAATGAATCACTCAGCCATTCATTCATTCATTTATTGTTAATTCATTCACTTTTTCATTCATTTATTAAATCAATCGTACATGCATTCATTCATTTGTCCATTCATGTACACTCTCTTATATTCAAGACCACATAAATTTAACGATATGTAGTATTCATATTTGTTGTCACTATTCTAGATAGGGAGTTATCGTTAGTGCGCCTATATATGTATTTATATGTATGTATACGTATGTTTATGTGTGTGAGTGTGCGTGCGTGTGTGTGTGTGTGTGTAGGTCTGTATAAATTTTTAATCAAATTATTAAAACATAGGTCGTCACTATATTAATAAATGCTTGCTTCCGTTCCGCGTATCTCTACATAAGCTATTTAAATGTTGGTGTGTGTGTGTGTGTTTTTGTGTGCGTGTGCGTGCCAGTTACATTTTTTTCTGACTGTATGACTGTGTGTATTTGTATGGGCGATACTTCGCAATGTGCTCTTTGCTACCTAGCTAAGAAAAAAGGATTTTTAAAGGTGTGTTTGTAAATAAACAATCTTTCCTTAGTGGCTCCCTTTAATGTTATTTTCTTATATGTGTTTCTGTGAATTACAATGTTGTCTACTAAGATAATAATTGTGCTATGTTAGTGTTTAAATTCGGGCTACTAACGAGTCCCGTAAGAGACGAGGCGCGTCTAGCCTAAAACGAGTTGGGTGTTCACAGAAACGCATATATGCATATGACAGAAAAAAAAAGTTCAAAACGTGTTTTTAAAAAATTATGCATAGTATAAAGATTTAAGCACACTTACTCAATAGACTTTCTATATAATTACAATACATACATACATAATAAGAGGTTCAGAACTTTGTTCAAGGATATTTTTAATATTCTTGAGCAGCTATAAACGATAAGAGAGCATACAATTTGAGAATATGCTCTTAATAACTCCTCCATATATACACATGTATATACACACATTTATATATATATATATATATATACACACATATCAATCGACAATCAAGAGGTTCAGAGAACAGATTTAGATTATTAAATAATTTGTATTCTACGGGTAAATTATTCCACTAGTAAAAATCTAATGACCTTAATATCAACAGCTTCAGATAAGGTTGTTGATAATTTTTTATATGTCTTAAATTTTTATAATTAACAGATGGAGTTTGAAAAAAATTTTAAATGTTTTGAGGTAATAATTTATTATGAACTTTGAACATAAATTTGAATGAGAAAAGTTTTAAAATTTGATTCAAATTAAGAATTTTTCCATCTTTAAAGTATAGAGAAATATGTTCTTTTTCTTGTTAAAAGTAGGCATCTTACAAAATAATTGTATGCTAGACATATGCGTTATTGTGTAATAGGTTAATATTCATTTGATATTTCGCGATTCTCTTTTATAAAATAAAAGAGAGAAAGATTTTTAATTTGTATAAATTTTTTTAATCAAATTTATTCCGTATATCTATATACATGAATATCTATTTTAAATGTTGGAAGGAGACTCTATTTGATAGAGTATTGTATAAATTCTACCGTTTAATGCCAACAATTCGGTAGAATTCATACAATACTGTACATATGTTAATTTGTATCTGTTTGCTGCAACGCAAACAGAGATGGGGTTAGGGTTGTGCCATTGTACCGTTGTCATGGTAACCAGTCCAGCTGATGTAAACTGCTGGAAACTTAATAAATTATCGCTCGTTAATTTTGGCGTATTTTAGTAATTTGGTAGTTTTTGTCCGTTTATTCATAATAAGACCGATTCATTTCTCTGAATTAAAATGCCGACCAAAAAAAATGTCGATTCCGATGTGGACAATGATGTCGAGGAGAAGATTGAAACTCAAACTACTTTAAATTCTTCTCAATCTTTGAAATCAAACAAGGTTTTTTAATTTTTTCCTTAATTAATTTATTTTATTTGAATTCAATTCAAACGAACTACATAATTTAAAAACTGGATGTGCATTTAAAATTTATTTTTAATTCTGTTTTACATCTGGTTTGTTTGATCAGTGCTAAATTGATTGTTATTTAAATGCAATAGTTAAAGAGAGATTTGAGATTTTCTTTTTAAAACTTGTTAATTCACAATTTATCCCAAAGTCACAAGAGAAACAAAAATCCAACAAAGGAGGATGGTTATTATTTTGAATTTATCTTTATTTCATATACATTTAATGACTAATTCATTTAAAAAATTGTTAATTAAATATAAATTTGTTTTAAATTTCTCAACAGGAAAAACAGTTCTGCAAACGAGGAGTAATTTTTTAAGATACTTTTTTAAAACGTTTTTTCACCACTTTAAATTTAAGTTAATTTGTTAAGTTAAATTTATATTCAGAATAATGATTTTTCATATTTTAGTGATAGAATAAAGGGAACAAAAATCCCATCCAAAAATAAGGGTAGTGACTCTGAATCAGGTAATTTTTCAGAATCTTTAAAATTTGCTGCATTAAATACTAAACTAAAAAAAATTGTAAAGAAATTAGGAAAATGAAATAACAGAATATGAAAACATGTTTAATTTTATAACATTTCTAAAATTTATCAATTTTTAGTCTAACAAAGATAATAAATATGACCATAGAAATGCCATACATACCAGTACTGGAAGACCAAGAGGCCAAACTTGGAGAAACTCTAGTATCTATGGCGCCCCAGTTAATAATCAATTGCATATATTATTATGGATATATAAATTAAATAGCAAAAAATATATAATCAATTTTATATAATCAATGAAGCCATAATTAAATTAAAACTATGATTTCCACTCTAAATATTTTGATATTTGGTAAACAAAATTAAATTAACTGAGCCTAGAACATTTAAAACCACAAATTAACTTATTATTGATTAAAATAGACCTTGGGTGGGCGGCATGATGGCTTGGTGGTTAAGATAACATTTAAAGTTAACATTTAACCATTTTCACCCTATATAGAGTTGTGATGAATAAGGTGTCAACATTTAAAGAGTTGGATGCTGACTTGCTGAAACATACACCACTGGCTTCCATAGTTAATATATCATATTACTATTCCTAACATTTATTTTTTAATATTTTTATGTTCAATTAATTTGGAATAATTTTGAAGGGAGGAAATATAGACCTTAAGCTCCTTACGATGAAACTTCTGCCAGAGTCAGCTGTTCAAGAAGTGAGTCAATCAATGATTTAATGGAGGAATGATCTAACAAAAAATTTATTTGTACAAGTTCTACACCATTGATGTTGGGTATTGTTGTTAGAAAAATTAAAAATTCATATGCTGGTCTTAAATTTTAAAGTATTGGTTCAGTATTTTATGCATTTTTTTCAAAAAACCGAAAAATTGCAAAAAATGTTTAAATTATATATTTTGATTAGAAAGATGAAGTTTGGGATTGGGATACATTATTCCTGGACGCGAAAGCTGAATACATGGCGAATATGTCAGAAAAGAAGAGTTAACGACATCCTAAAACACTTTGTATTAATGGAGATAGGTTTGACAAATCCTTTGCTGATGCGTAATTCAATTTTGTCCTAATCTGAAAATGTTGTGTTTTGTTGCATTTGGTCGATGAAAACCTTAGCTAGCTTATTACATTGTTTACAAATTTATAAATAAAATTTACAAATTTTGTTCGGTTCTAGAAAATCGTTTCTATTCACATAAATCATCATCGGAAAAAATTAGAAAATGCCAATCAGATCAGCTAAAAACATAGTACAAAGGTTAACCTCAACATAGTTACAATTCAAAATGCACCAATAATAGTAGTAGTAACAATAAAAATAAAACAGAATGTTAATAAACATTATAATAAATTTTCAGAACTAGTAGTCAGAAAAAAATAAAACAGAGTATTAATAAACATTATAATAAATTTTCAGAACTAGTAGTCAGAAAAAAAACGACATCGCCCTAAAGTTATCCTCAACATAGTTGTGGATAAAATTCAAAATGCAGCAATAATAGTAATAGTAACAATAAAAAAAACAGAATGTTAATAAATATTATAATAAATTTTCAGATCTAGTAGTCAGAAAAAAAATAAAACAGAGTATTAATAAACATTATAATAAATTTTCAGAACTAGTAGTTAGAAAAAAACAACATCGCCCTAAAGTTAACCTCAACATAGTTACAATTCAAAATGCAGCAATAATAGTAGTAGTAACAATAAAAATAAAACAGAATATTAATAAACATTATAATAAATTTTCAGATCGTGTAGTCAGAAAAAAATAAAACAGAGTATTAATAAACATTATAATAAATTTTCAGAACTAGTAGTTAGAAAAAACAACATCGCCCTAAAGTTAACCTCAACATAGTTACAATTCAAAATGCAGCAATAATAGTAGTAGTAACAATAAAAATAAAACAGAATGTTAATAAACATTATAATAAATTTTCAGAACTAGTAGTCAGAAAAAAATAAAACAGAGTATTAATAAACATTATAATAAATTTTCAGAACTAGTAGTCAGAAAAAAAACGACATCGCCCTAAAGTTATCCTCAACATAGTTGTGGATAAAATTCAAAATGCAGCAATAATAGTAATAGTAACAATAAAAAAAACAGAATGTTAATAAATATTATAATAAATTTTCAGATCTAGTAGTCAGAAAAAAAATAAAACAGAGTATTAATAAACATTATAATAAATTTTCAGAACTAGTAGTTAGAAAAAAACAACATCGCCCTAAAGTTAACCTCAACATAGTTACAATTCAAAATGCAGCAATAATAGTAGTAGTAACAATAAAAATAAAACAGAATATTAATAAACATTATAATAAATTTTCAGATCGTGTAGTCAGAAAAAAATAAAACAGAGTATTAATAAACATTATAATAAATTTTCAGAACTAGTAGTTAGAAAAAAACAACATCGCCCTAAAGTTAACCTCAACATAGTTACAATTCAAAATGCAGCAATAATAGTAGTAGTAACAATAAAAATAAAACAGAATATTAATAAACATTATAATAAATTTTCAGATCGTGTAGTCAGAAAAAAATAAAACAGAGTATTAATAAACATTATAATAAATTTTCAGAACTAGTAGTCAGAAAAAAACAACATCGCCCTAAAGTTATCCTCAACATAGTTATGGATAAAATTCAAAATGCAGCAATAATAGTAATAGTAACAATAAAAATAAAACAGAATGTTAATAAACATAATAATAAATTTTCAGATCTAGTAGTCAGAAAAAAATAAAACAGAGTATCAATAAACATTATAATACATTTTTAGAACTAGTAGCTAGAAAAAAACAACATCGCCCTAAAGTTAACCTCAACATAGTTACAATTCAAAATGCAGCAAAAATAGTAGTAGTAACAATAAAAATAAAACAGAATAATAATAAACATTATAATAAATTTTCAGATCGTTTAGTCAGAAAAAAATATCCTTGTAAAGATCTGTGAAAGGTTATGAATTTCTCAAACTGAACAGTGCCAAATCATCATAAGCGGTAATAAATTTATATCATTATTATTTTTACTCTTATCAACAACTTGTTGGAGCCTTAAAAATATGAATATCACGATAATGCATTATGTATATCATATTAGTAGACTTTATCATTGAACATATACAACAACTAAACCTAGAAATGAAATACAGGTATTAATATTAGCGAACACGTTATTATTACAACTATTACATCTTATTTTTAAACTTCCTCTCTCTCTCTCTCTCTCTCTTTTTCTCCCTCCCCCTCTCTCTCTCTCTCCAAATATAATAAATAATTAATTACTAACAAATTGGATTGCTCTGGTCATACCAGATGGTTGTCTACAAACATTTAAGATAAAAAATAACATTAAGTAAACTCAATGATAATTTCTTCATAATAAATAAGACCTTGAAATAATACTGTTCGCGTACTCTACTCACTCCATATATATATATATATATATATATATATATATATATATATATATTTACAATATTCTATAAATTCTACCGAATGTTGGCG